TCATAGCAGTAAACTCTTAATTCTATCAGTGGAGTCAGAAATGAAATGGTATTTACAAGACCTCATTTTGGCAGATGATAATTTTAACCTTCTTTTCCTTCAAGCCCTGCTCCAGAAAAAATGAAGGAATTTATTCAGTTTGTTCACTTATTAAGTATCTTTAGACTTTAGATAAGACATTATGCAAAGCCCTATTGGTGACTAAAAGATAAACACATCCTTGCCCTCAAAGAGCTTCCAGTGTAAGGAGTAAGAAGAGAGTATGTGTGTGTGTGCGTGTGTGTGTGATTTTAAAATGGGCTCTAGGAGTTATATAAGTGGGTAATAAAGAGGGGCTTGAAGAGATCGTAGGAGATCATGGAATTAGCATTTCAAAAGGACTTTGTATAAATCCATAATTATCTGTTACTTAAGGGGTAGAATTTGCCTTTAAAGTAATCTAATCTTAGTATATATTTTGGATCCCTAGTGGCACAATGTTTAAGAGCTCCACTGCTAACCAACAGGTCAGCAGTTCGAATCCACCAGCCGCTCCTTGGGGCAGTCCTACTCTGTCCTACAGAGTCGCTGTGAGTTGGAATTGACTCAATGGCAACGGGTGAGTTTTAGTATATATTTTGGAGTTCCTTGGTGATACAAATGATCAGTGCACTCAGCTGCTAACCAAAAGATTAGAGGTTTGAGTCTACCCAGAGGTGCCTTGGGAAAAAGACCTGGCAATCACTTCTGAAAAATCAGCCACTGAAAACCCTATGGAGCACAGTTCTACCCTGACACATATGACATACCATGAGTCAGAATCTACTTGACAGCAAGTATTTCTGTACATAGATTTTTAATTGCTTATTCTCTTCCTATAATGATTACAGGACTATTCAGGGTTTCTATTCTGTCCTGACACTTGGGAGTCCTGAGGGAATAAACTTCCCTGGCTGACTATTGTGAAAGAGCAGTTGGTGGGTAAGGCAGGAGAGGGAAGTAAGGACCTATCCACTTAACTTCTTGTGTTGTCTGGGGTCATTTGGCCTTAGCATTTTAGAAAGGTCTTTGTCTGGATTCTGAGCAAAATGTTTTTTCTTGAGTCCTGGGATCCAGGGGTACCCTAAGGAAGTGAATGAGTCACTGATGCTGGAATCCTGTGAGATGGCCAGCTTTCATTTTCTTTTCCAAAGCCCTGCAGTAGAATAGATGAGACAATTATAGCCTGCCCTACCTCCCTAGCCTTTCTTCTAAACCAGAGGAAAGATGGATATATGGGTGCTTTGCCCTCTACTTGTGAAGGAAACCTACAAAATGGTGCCAGTGTGTTTGGCTGAGCCATCCAGAACAGATGGCCCAGAGAAATGGCTGTTGGTTTGTACTCCTGATTGTGTTTTTAAAGGAGTGAGACAAGTAGGGATGGGTATGTGTACATGTGCACACACACAACATGTACGTACACAACACGTATGTACACAACTCTGCCTATGTCTGTTTGAGGAAGCATTTAGTGAATCAGAGCCACTCTCATTTTGTAGTAGTCTGAATTATAAATATCTGAAGTAAATGTTTAAGTGATTCTTTTTGCCTTGTTTCTAGGGACAGACGAATTACATAAATGACAGCTCAGGGATGAGCTTTTTTGCTGAGTATGTGCTATTTTATGCATTGGTACCATTATTATTAGCTCGTGACTCAGGAACACTGGTGGCAAAGTGGTTAAGTGCTCATCTGCTAACCAGAAGGTCCATGGTTCAAACCCACTAGACATTCCTTGGGAGAAAGGTGTGGCAGTGTGCACCCGTAAGAGAAGCCTTGGAAACTCTGTGGGGCAGTTCTACTCTGTCCTGTAGGGTAGCTATGGGTCTGAATTGACTCGACGGCAGTGAGTTTGGTTTTTGGTTTAGATCATGACTCAGCTAGGCAACCATGGGGCAAAGATGATCCTCACTTGGGCCCTCACCCACAGCCTTAGAGAGGACCCTGACTGCTTCACAGGGAGATTATGTGGGCTATGTAGTTCCTGGAAAAAATTTTCCCCGCCTAACTCCTTCTAACTTGATACTGCCTGATGAGTGGCAGGGTCTGGCTAGATCACGGAGGAAAGGAGGCTCCAGGTTCTTACTGATACTGGCATCTTGATTTTAAACATTTCAGACTGAAGTGGAAACTATCTGATTTATACAAATCTCCAGGACTAATTTATTCTCCAAAAATTATTGTATCAAAACTATCTAGTAGCAGTTGTATAGTTGAAACCTAGAAGCCAGGAAAGAAACTAGTAGAGAGAGCCTCTCCGAAGTCCATTCATTGCTATGATTCCGTGTACACAGCCTTGGTTACCTTAAACAAATGGCAGCAGTAATTCTCCCTGTACCTGTTTTTACCATCATTCTCTTAGCTCTATTTACTTCCTCCTCTTTTTCAGATTTCCTAGCTACCGATTTGGGTAGGAGGAAGGAGAAAAGGGCTATATTAAATTTGCTGCCAAGAAGAGGAACCAGATGAGGTCACAGGGCATGAAAGAGCAATAGAAACCGTTTTTCCATGGTCTGAATTTTCAGGCATTGATACCCTTCAATTATTCTTTAGATCTGAAAGCTATTATAATTGTATTCCCAGTAACCATGATGGAAAGACTGATTTGGTTGGTAAATTTTAGTTCTGTGGTAGCTGATTCTTAAGACATGAGACCCTCTATCTGTCTGCCTTCTGTGGTACTTATTCTAAAATTGCCCTCTCCTCAAACACTATCCATTCAGGAAGTGTTTACTGAGCACTGGCAGTAGTTGAGGCACTGTGCCCCAGGTTCTGAGTGCAAGAGTAAGTAAGACAGATTCAGTCTCATGGAGTATGCAGTGTTAACAGTGTGATGAAACTCCCTGTGGTCATACTTTAGAGCTTGTGCTCACGATATCAGTGCATAGAACCTCCTGCCCCCCTCCCCCCACCGTTTTTAATTCAGGACTTCAAAAGAAAACCAACCAGTTTATAACGGCCAGAAAGGTTTAGAATTATGAGCCTGCCTCTATCCCTGTTTAAACCCTCTCCTCCCTTAAAGGCAGCTGATGTGATAGAAAAGGGTATTAGACATTAAAGCCAAACAGACTCTAGTTCAAACCCTGGCTCTGCCATTTACCAGCTGTATGATTTAGAAGAAAGTTACTTAAATTCCTTTTCTTGGAGGCAGTACGAATAAGCAAAATTGGTACTAGGTTTAACCCAAAGTTCCTTTGCTAGTCACCTTCATAATGAGGGTAGGGGTAGGAATAGGATGTTGGAAAAGTAGAATTCAGGGGAGACCTATGAACATCAACCCTATCCAGAAGAGGAATACACCCAAAGGAACTCTTTGGGAGTGGTGAGATTCCTGTATTGAGATAACTATTTTAGGTTTCTTAAATTTCTGTGGATCCCTTTTCTCAAGTTTATTTTTGTTTTGACTAGGCCTCGGTCACCTTGCCCTCCTCCCTCGCCACCTTAGGAACCCAGTGTACTTAACCTGCCCAAGGGTTCCGACTCTGGCAGCCTACCTCAGTGTTTAACCTTTTTCTCCATAAAAATGCACCAGTCCTGTGTCCTAGTCACTCTTTTCTTTCATGGTTTATTAGCAAACTTGATGTTGGACTGAGATGTGAATAGCTTTAAATCTAGTATCTATCCTAGATAATTCAAATATTAATTATGTCAAATATGGGGGAAAATTTAGGCAAAGGACATTTTGTCATTCACCAAGTAGAGCAGGCTGGCTAAGTTATAGTCAAGGGGCAGATCAATACAGTCTTGCTGTCATAAACAAGATAAGTGCATGACAGTAAAGAGGGATAGCCTCCATGAGGCAAAAGAGGAGTTTTCTCAGGAGATCAAAAGCAGAAGACACCTTCTTCAGAACGAGCAGATTATTTCTGCAGAAGGGATGTTGTTCTAGTCATTTCCCTCCAGCAGCTGAGATAATGAGAAACATTTGGAATGAGTATTTGAACAAGGTGGAGTTGGGAGTGGGATAGAGGCATGTGGAACAGATACTGCCTGATGACACCTATGCCCTTGGTAGGGATTTGCGTTTGGTAGGGATTGAGAAGGTATTCATTGATTAAACTATGTGTACTGACCAACTGAGGATTGCTCAGATTGACTCTGTTTTATATAGTTTAGAATTTGGGTGTGGGGTACATGTTCTCTGTGTGGGTGTGATACCCTTACCAGTGAAGTTAAACCTTTGAGATTATCCCAATTTCATAAATGATGACATCTTCATCTGTAAGTTCCAGACCTCTAGTACTTTTCTCAGTCATTGGAGAAGAAAAGCCAGCTTTCTGTCAGTGGCATCTTAATTTTAATCCATACATGGTATCTTTAGGGCTCACTGTCTGATTCAAATTCCAAATACTTGGACTCTACCTGTTATGAAGGAGCTTAAGAAAGTGACCCAAATCTCCTTTCTTCATCCTTAGTTCTCCCTGCTATCGGGGTAGAGTGGGAGGGGTATTCTCTCCATTATTTTTCCCATTGGTTTTGTTTGTTTGTTTTGTTTTTTTGCTCTCCTCATCATAGAAATTGAGGGCAAATGCATCAGAGATGCTTTCTGTGCATTTAAGTAATTACATGCTTCTGGATCTACATGTCCCTGGCTCTGCTGCCTAACTGTTCCCAAGCAGTTCAGTCTCATTTTGCTCATGACTAGCCTTTTCCAAGGTAACACTTGGAGTCTATCTTGGGGATCAAAAGCTTGAGAAATGTTTTAAGTGGCTTTGGCTTCATTGACAATGGAATTGCAGTGGGTGGGCGTGGGCAATGCTTAAAGGCTAAATAAAGGCTCTTGGTAAGAGCACATATGCTGAGAGAGGTTTCATCTTCACTCTTTCCATAGCAACTTTATCTGTAAGATTAAGGGTTCTGCTGGTGGTATAGTTAATAAAAAAATCTCAGCTCCCTTTCAGAGCTGTTTATCTGCCATTACTGGAACCTATTTACATTCATCCATTTCATTGCTTGGTTTTTGTTTCCTTCTCTCTCCCCAGGTGGCATTGGTAGGGTGGTCAACGGAGCCTTCATGGTGCTGAAAGGGCATCGATCTATTGTTAACCAGGTCCGGTTTAATCCCCACACCTACATGATCTGCTCTTCTGGTGTAGAAAAGATTATCAAGGTGAGGCACCTTCCCCTTCTGTCCTTTTAGAGAAATTATTACAATTCATAATTCAAAGTCTTTAGAACAATATATGTAGGACCTTATATCTAGACATACTGAAGGTCTATCAAAATTCTCAGGGATTTTGACATATTACAAAATACAGGAAAATTGATATTAAAAAACAGTGGAATAAAACCCTCCTTTCAGGACCATTTTTTTAAAATAGTGACTAGGCTTTGAAACAAAGTATCTTCTAGACACTACCTTGTATGCCACTACATTTCTGTTGGCCTTTGATGTCATGAATCTGCTTACCAAACCTCATCTGGAGGTTAGGGGAGCCGCTATCCCCTCAGTTTTCCAGTGTGCACTTTGCATTAATTGCTGTCCTGATATGGCACAGATGATTCCCAGAACCGTAGTTAGATTGTCACATAAAAACCACTGCATGTGGTTGTGATTGAGGCTACTTGGGTATGAATCCTAAACACTTGCATCAATTGTGCATCGCCTGAATGAACTCACCCCTGCCAAGGAATATTTTTATAGTCTGAAATTGAGGGCCCCAGCCTGGCCTGTGTCCATAAAAGGATGGCCTACTGCCCATCACTCTCATTCTAGTTGCTAGTAACCCTTGGATCTTTTTCCATATCTGAGGAAGTAAATGAGGGTTCAGGGCAAATGATGAATTCTTGAGGACCCTATGACAACTTGGCTTTTAAATAAGGACAGATGGCATTCCCCCCAAAAGTTAAAACACCACAGTTATTATTATTATCTTTTTTTCTGAAGTGACATTGAAAACTTGAGAGGTTTCAGGAAAACAAAAGGTAAAAAATGGTTTGTTGATGATTTTGGTAGTTTTCATTTTCTTTTGTTGTTTTTTGTTTGTTTTGAACTATCCAGAGTCAAGCCAAATTGTATTTGATGGCAGGGGGCAGCTATCAGAGATCTTATATTGGAGCGTTGGTCAATATTTGTATTTGCCCTTAGTCCAACTTTATTTAGGCTTTGTTGGTCCTGTGGATCAGAGCTGATTTCTGTGGCAGCACACATTTCCTCATAGGGCTAAAATGGGACTTCTAGATCATTTATACTGACTTTTTCTTAACCATCCAGAGTCACACAGCTCATTCATGCTAAAGCCAGGATAAAAGCCTGTTCTCTGTTCTTCCCAGTATACTGCCACATTCACCTTGTAAGTGGAAAGGCAGTGGACTGCCTGATGCCCCTCATGCTGGGTTTGATAATCTCTGTCAAGCCCTGTTCCTTGCATTGCTTTTCCCCCTCCTTTGGCCTGTGACCAGTGGGCTGTCACTGTGATGTGTCCTCTCCAGGACCATTGACGTCATTCTTTTTCTCAAGAGTTCTCCTTTAGAAGAGATTCCTGTTTGGCTGTGCACTCTGGGATGTTTCTGTGCTAAGTTTCCCCAATTACTGTTTAGTCAACTGAAGTCTTTACCCTTAAGGTCATAGATTGGAAACTAGCCAAGTTCTCAGAGGAGAGCAAGAAAAAAATGTTTTCTCTGTGAGGTTATCCAGACTGAACTAGGGAGCTCATTGCTCACAGATTCCCATGGGACCTGAACCCTCCCCCAGCAGGAGGTAGAGTTAACCGTCTGAACCCTTGAAAAGTCAGCACAGATGACCATAGTGGGAGGGAAAGCAAAAGGCTCTGGAGTTTTCAGCTATAGTCTCTTAGGTGCTGTCTGGTTGGAAATGGCATAAATTTAAAGCAGTGTAGAAAGGGATGTGGAAAGGAGAAGGACGAGGCAGAGTGAAATGCTGGCCTCGTCTGTCTGTTGGAATTTCTGCTCTTGTCTGCACTCACATCGTCCAGAAAGGCCATTGAGGTCTCAGTAGCCTTAAGTAGCATTCTGGATCTCTCTCCCATCTGTAAAGTCAGGAGGCTAAAAATCACTTGGCAGCCTGGAGTGCCATGTGAATTACTTGTGCCTGACGATTTCTGACTATTTCCATAAATGTCACTTTTCTACTTATTTCTTAGGGGCTCAGTGGCTCAGAGTGCCACATCCTACCTTGTGCTAGCCCAGCCTGAGACCTTTTTTTCTGTCTTACTTCACTCTACCTTCTCCCTATCCTTACCCTTTAGTGTCACTTTCTAGTCCAAGGAGAAAGGTGCCTGTTGTCAGGACTAGCCTCTGCTTGTCACTCATAATAGGTCTTCTGTCCCTCTGAATGTCCACACTTACCAAAAGAGGGGATTCGTTGCAGTTAATCAGGTGAGGGAGGGCAAGGTGGGGTAAATTCAGACATTTTTTCCCAAAGATCAATATTCATTTATTTACCACATACTTGTGATATATCTACTGTGTCCCATTTGTGCTAGGCCTTATGGGGAACACAAAGGGAAAGGTAACAAAGGTCCTTCTAGGAATTGATGACACAGTAGGAAAGACAAGAAATAAAAATAACGAAAATAAAGAAATGAAGATAATAAAAAAGTGCACAAGAGATATAAACAAAGTGCTAGGGAGGTTAGAGGAAGGAGAGATTTGTTCCCATCTGGAGTAATCTCTGTATAGGTAATATTTGAGCTAGATTTTTAAGAATAGGTAAGACTTCAAAAGGAACAAATAAGGTAGGAAGGACATTTCAAGTAGAAGGAATGGGTATTTCATTGGATCAGTAAATAGTTATTGACTACCTTCTTTTGTCAGGCACGGGGCTTTTGAACAAATGCTCAGAAGCAAGATAGTATAGGACCCATTCAGAAAATGATCACATGAAGAGTATGTGAAGGAGAGCGCTAGGAGATAAGGCTGGGAAGGTTGGCTGGAGACAGGCCCAGAGGGTCTTGGAAGCCAGATTAGAGAGTGTGGAGAGCCCCTGAATAGCAATTTAGGAACTTTTCTGTGTAGTTTTTCTCAGTAGATGGACAAACGTCTAAGTTCAGTATAGTAGCGCAAGGAGAGAAGAGAGCTTAGAGCTGCTGCATAAAACGTGATGGTGGCTTGTGTAGATCTGAACACTTGGTACATAATTGCTTTCCACTTTAATGATGTTTGAGTAAGAATTGAACTGTATACTTTTCCTCAGCAGCTTCTAGAGCTAAACTTTTCATTGGACTTGGAGAGACAGCTACTTATCCCTCCTTTTTCTCATGAACCATGACCCATCGGGAGACATATCTAGTCACATTTAAGACGTAACAGGGAGTTGTTTTTCCATTGCCTTACTTCTGAATTGTTGAGTTTCAGTGTAGGGAAATCAACAGTTTCACAAATGTTTGAAATTCATATTTTAAGGATGAGGGCCATCAAAATAGGGAAAGTCAGTACTTCTGAGATTCAAAAGTCTGTCTGATGATGGTTCTAAAACTTTCTGGTTATAGCACTCAGGTGCCAAATGAAGGCGAAAACCCACATTTTTTGGTCCTTTGGTATAGGTATGTCGTTTCTACAGATGAGAAATGGGCTTTAAAAGATGAAGTCATTTGCCTAGGGCCATGTAAAGCGGTGGAAGCTGGGGTTCCCTACTTGCTCTACCTGGTCCCACAGCTCTGAACTACACATTCCTTGAGGATTGAAGACTGGCTCTCTGGGATGGAGGTTTTGTTTCACTCTGAATCTTAGGATTGGATGAGACCATGTAGTTCGCTTTTTAGATGAGGGAGCTGTGCTTCACGCAAGGTTACCAGCTCGCTAGGAGCTGAGTGGGAACTTAGAATCAAGTCTCCTTCCTCCTGGTCTAGCGTTTTGTTCCATTACTCCATGCTTCAGGAATGAACAGTCTACCTCAGCTTAATACATTCCAGAGCCCAAATAAAAGCTGACATTGTGTTATGATTTTCATTTCTGAAGTGAAAACATGGGCGGCTGCGTAGTAATAGATTCTTAGAACCTCGAAACTGGCTTATTGAATAATTGGGCCAGCATCTCACCATTAATATTTTGTATTTCTGTTAACAAATTCTGTGTTTCTATGAAATACAAATAGATTTATCTTCATATTAGAAAACATGGTTAGTAACATTTTGCCATTTTAAACTGAGAAGGTGAGAGAATTGATCCAGAATTAAGAATAAGACCCAGAAAGCATTCTAAGGTCTTTGCCCTTTTAGACCCCTCAGCTTCCTTTCTGTCTTAGTCATCTAGTGCTGCTATACCAGAAACACAACAAGTGGTTGGTTTTAATAAAGAGAAGTTTATTTCCTCACAGTTAAAGTAGGCTAAAAGTCTAAATTCAGGGTGTCAGCTCCAGGGGAAGGCTTTCTCTCTCTCGGCCTTCTTCTTGTCGGTGTTCCCCTGGACTAGGAGCTTCTCTGTGCAGGGACCCCAGTCCAAAGGATGCGCTCTGCTCCCGGCACTGCTTTCTTGATGGTATGAGGTCCCCCTGTCTCTCTCCTCACTTCTGCCTTTTATATCTCAAGGCATTGCCTCAGGATACAATCCAGTCTTGTAGACCGAGTCCTGCCTTGCTGACACAACTGCCACCCATCCTCCCTCATTAACATCATAGAGGCAGCATTTACAACATATAGGAAAACCACACAATACCAGGAATCATGGCCTGGCCAAATTGATACACACATTTTTTGGGGGGACATAATTCAAACCATGACACTTTCTAAGCCACCAAACTCTTTTCATTCCCTCAGACATCTGTTTGCAGAGATAGTTATTTATAGCTTGAGCCCGATACTGGAAGCCATGTCTTTTAGGAATTTATGGGTTAAGAAAGTCCTTCAAGCAAATCCATTATTTCCCAGTGTTTATTTTATGCTAACTATATCTGAAGGAACCCTGGTGGCGCAGTGGCTAAGCGCTCAGCTCCTAGCCAAAGGTCAGTGGTTGGAACCTACCAGTCACTCCACAGGAGAAAGGTGTAGCAATCTGCTTCCATAAAGATTACAGCCTTGGAAACCCTATGGGGCAGTTCTACTCTGTCCTATAGGGTTGCTATGAGTTTAAGGGAGCCCTGGTGGCACAGTAGTTAAGTGCTCGGCTGCTAACCAAAATGTCAGTGGTTTGAACCCACCAGCTGCTCTGGGGACAAAAACCTGGCGATCTGCTCCTGTAAGTATTACAGCCTAGGAAACCCCATGGGGCAGTTCTGCTCTCACCTGTAGGGTTGCTATGAGTTGGAATTGACTCGATGGCAATGGATTTTTATATCCTAGTGTTTCTGAAAAGTTGGTCCACTCACTTACCCATCCCTTGGGTTCTTGTTAAGAACACAGAGTCCTGGTACCCACCCATGACTTATTAAATCAGACTCTCTAAGAGTGGGCTCAGAAGTCAGCATTGTAATTATCTATTTCAGGTGATTCTTAACGCACTCTAAAGTTTGAGAACCACTGCCTTAGAACTCCCCTGGGTGAGATTATGAAGCTAGAGAGGGGCAAACACCTGGGAGTTGTGGGCAGTTGAAGGAAGAGTGAATTTGAGTTTGGAATTGGTGACAAGAAGCTAATCTACAAAGTTTCTTCAGCCCCTCTTGAACTGGGGGTCCTCCAGGGAGACACTACCTCCCCAGGTGTTGCCAAGTAAAGCACAGCTGGAACTGGGGATCTGGAACAGACCTCAGCAAAGTTCTTACAAGGAGAAGAATTTGCCCTTAGGCAGCTTTGGGGAAACAAAGCCATTGTCTTGATGGGGGATAGGGAATGAGGGGCCACTGTTTTCTGAGTTGGGTGCCATCTAAAGATAGATGCCTGCTTGTCAGGCAAGAAAGTCACCTAGAATTTCATCTGAGTTACCATGGCTACCGGCTGATGTAACTGAGCTTTTCTATGCTGCTCTGTGGCCAGTCTTTATAGTGTAGTGTAGGTCGTTAAGAGCTGGGCCTTTGCATTCAGACATACCTGAGTTTGAATTCTAGTTTGCACTTTTTGGCTATAAGCTCGTGTCCCTGACCAAGGAGTAGAGGAGTGATAAGGGACGGGACTCCAGTCACCTCTTTTGGGGGGAGGGTGTCCTACCTATTCATCTGCAGCTAACAGAAGCGTTGGGGAGCAAGCCAACAGCTCCCCAGTTAAGAGAACCTAGTTTCCTGGGTAACTGATGCCTGCACATCCTAGAGGGAACTGCAGTGTAGGCAGTTGGCTATTCTTATCAAGCTCCAGTAAGCAACTCCTTTTAGTTAAAAATAGAGATGTCACAGTTGGGGAGAAGTGGAGCTATAAGCTGAAATTTTAACTGTCACAGAGAACTGACTGCTGGGTTTGTTTCACTTTGGAAAAGCAGCAGCTCTCTGTGCATAGCTTCAGTCTTCTTCTGAGAGTTTTAAACACATTGACCAATCTTCAAGTCATCCTAAATCCCCTGAGATTATGTAGGGTAGTATTGTAATTTCCAAGCTGTGAATAGAGGAAACTGAAGGAGAGGGAAATTGAGGGGGGATATGGAATGTGATTATTCTGGGCCTAAAGACAAGACGGAGATCCCCTGATACTTGGTTAATGCTATGCCCTAGCCCGTACTTTTTCCCACATCTTATTCTAGAAGCCTCAGTTTTCATGTGCAGTCCACATAATCCAGACTGTGAAGGATATATTTTTTAAGCTGGTTAGCAAGTCCTGGCCAAATGACAGGGAGGGTCTGGGGAAGCTCTGCCTTGGTATACTTTATCGCTGCCAGCTTTAGAAGTCTTTCCAATCAGTGTCTGGTTGCTTTTGTTTTTCTTCTGTGTAGATCTGGAGCCCATACAAGCAGCCAGGATGTACTGGAGACCTCGACGGTCGGATTGAGGATGATTCTCGCTGCCTCTATACCCATGAAGAGTACATCAGCCTTGTGCTGAACAGTGGGAGTGGCCTATCACATGACTATGCCAACCAGTCAGTCCAGGAGGACCCCCGGATGATGGCCTTCTTTGACTCCCTAGTGCGCCGAGAGATCGAGGGCTGGAGCTCTGACTCAGACAGTGACCTCAGCGAGAGTACTATCCTCCAGCTGCACGCTGGGGTCAGCGAGCGCTCAGGCTACACGGACTCAGAGTCTTCAGCTTCACTGCCCCGCTCCCCGCCCCCCACAGTGGATGAGTCTGCTGACAATGCCTTCCACCTCGGGCCTCTGCGGGTCACCACCACAAACACGGTGGCATCAACTCCGCCACCACCTACATGTGAGGATGCTGCCTCTCGCCAGCAGCGCTTGTCTGCTCTGCGGCGCTACCAGGACAAGCGCCTCCTGGCCCTTTCCAATGAGTCTGATTCTGAAGAGAATGCCTGTGAGGTTGAACTGGACACAGATCTCTTCCCCCGACCTCGGTCACCCAGCCCTGAAGATGAGTCCAGCAGCTCCAGCAGCTCCAGCAGCTCAGAGGACGAGGAGGAGTTGAATGAACGCCGAGCCTCTACCCGGCAGCGAAATGCTATGCGGCGCCGGCAGAAGACACCCCGAGAAGAGAGGCCTAGTGCCCCAACCAAGTCCACCAGCACCTACATTGGAGAAGACAACTACGATTACCCCCAGATCAAAGTGGATGACCTCTCCTCCTCCCCTGCCTCCTCCCCTGAGCGGAGCACTTCCACTTTGGAGATTCAGCCAAGCCGGGCATCACCAACCTCCGACATAGAATCAGTTGAGCGAAAGATTTATAAAGCTTACAAGTGGCTTCGCTACTCCTATATCTCCTACTCAAATAACAAAGATGGAGAGACCTCCCTCGTGACTGGGGAGGCAGATGATGGGAGAGCAGGAACCAGCCGCAAGGACAACCCAATCCCTTCTTCCAGTAAGGAAGTCTGTCTAAACACAGCCGTGGCCCAGAGAAACCAGGACCTACCCCCTGAAGGCCGCAGCAAGGACGCTTTTAAAGAAGGGACTTCTACTAGAAACCCCAGCAATGGCCCAGGCCATGAGCACAGCAGCCATACTTGGGCAGAGGTGCCAGAGGGCACCTCTCAGGACACTAACAATAGTGGCTCTGTAGAACACTCTTTTGAAACCAAGAAGCTCAATGGAAAAGCCTTGAGCAAGGCCCTGAGCAGCCGGTCTGAGGAGTCGCCCTCTCCTCCTGTCCCCAAGGCATCTGGCTCCACTCCCAGCAGTGGGTCTGGCAACTGTCCCAGGACCCAGTCTGATGACAACGAAGAGAGGAGCCTTGAAACCATCTGTGCCAACCACAACAATGGACGCTTGCACCCCCGCCCCCTTCATCCCCACAACAATGGGCAGAACTTTGGGGAACTGGAGATGATGGCTTATTCTTCTCCAGGACATTCAGACACTGACCATGATAACTTGTCCCTGGCAGGGACACTCCTTCACAGAGATTGTTGTGGGTCTGAAATGGCCTCTGAGACCCCCAGTGCTGGAATGAGAGAGGATCCGACTGATCCCCCAGCCACAGACAGCAGCAGCAGGGGTATTCATGGCCACAGTGGCCTCAAAAGGCATCGAGTAGAATTGGAAGATGGAGATCCAGAGAATTCTTCCTCAGAGAAGAAATTAAAGACATGATAAATATAAAGGGGAGGGGGGAAAAGCTACGAAAAGTAGCTTTACCAAAAAAGAAAAAGAGAAACAAATTCTGTTTAGTGAACACAGAGGAAAGGAAAAAAAAGTATTAAAGGCACGTAAAAACCAGGGCCTGAAATTTTGTGTCTGACGCTGCTCCCTTCTATTCAACGATGGGTCTGAATGTTTAGTTGGCTGTTGGCTTATGCTGTGGTAAGAAAGGGGGGAAAAAAAGTGACTCCCCTAGCGAGGCTTGAGCATAGTGTACCTGTGCAAGGTTCTGTTAAAGTAAATCCTCATTGAGATGTTTGACTTGTTCTTGTGTATGTGTGCACTGGCACGCGTGAGTTCAGCCTCTTTGCCCAGCTGTCTCAAGACTTTTCTTTTAGTTCTCGATCAGAGTGGATCTATGGATGTGTATTTTTTGCCATCTCACCCTGTTTACATGCCGTAGATGTTCAGGCTTAATGATGAGTGCCTGTTAAGTTAGGTTGTGCTGCCACTGAATTGTGGATTCACGCTGGAAGAATAGAAAGGAGAATGGAAACAGGCTTTCAGCCCATTGGTTGGGCTGGAGAGGAAAGCACGGTTGCATTCTTAAAGAAACCTTCCATGTTCTCTCTAAGTAGCACTTCTTCTTTGAGCATTTAATGTGGACATGCTTAAAGATGGAACATTTTTAATGCTAATGAGAGGTTAGCACTTAAGATCAAATTCAAGGAGAACGTAGATCCCTGATAAATCTCACTGTTTGCAAATTGAATAATGCTGCAACACATACTGTATGGAGGCCACAAAATATGACTAGTTATGGGTGACACACTATAACCAGTTAGGTACTAGTTCTAAAGGCACTCAAAAAGCCACAGGTGCTTCCTTCACCCCATGTGATGGATCTAGGCATATTGAAAGAGAGCTCTCAAGAGCTTTGTGTTGAACTGCTAAAGTGAACGCTTATAGGTGTGTTAATGAAGAAAAGTAGTGAAGAGGAGAGTGTGGTACTAGATTCATTTAATTCAACCCAAAACCACTGGTCAGAATCGGTGGGACTGGCATTTTCTCCCAGGCTTGCAGTTGACAGAGGCTGTGGTGTTCTGACTAGAACTTGCAGAGCAGTAGGCACCTCAAAGTTACAGATCCTTATTGAGTAGATCTGCTAGGAGGCACAGGCTGTGAGAGAGGAGTTGCTGGTTAAAACTCATGACTCCCAGAAGAGACTCAGTTGCACTGGGGTAGATGATTGAGGGGGAAATGATCAAGAGATTTGTAGTGGTGGTTACAGCCACCTGGGTATCAATGAAGGGCTCTGCAAAACAGGAAAAGCTAGGAATGACCAGATATCTTGTTGGTGTAGATGTCCCGGAAGAAGGAACAGAGAGAGAGAGAAGTACAGCTTTCTTGTGTGCAAGGGTGCCAGACAACTAGTAGCCCAGCTGGAATTGGCTTAGGAGGATCTCATGGGTGCCTGATGTGGCCTCACTGACCCAGCCCTCCTTTTAGAGGAGGACCTGGCCTGCTGGAACTGGGATGGAGAGAGACAGCCTGTAGAGGATGAAGACTGGGATGAATGCAGGCACGGGGGAGGGGGGTTATTTATAAAAAGAAGGTTGTTGATCTAAGCCGAAAGGAGATGTCATCCTGCTAAGCTTTTTGCACAAGGAAAGATGTGCCTGGTTTTGTGATGCAAATTTGTGTGAAAATACTATCTTGGAAGAAGATGTTTTCTATCAGCAGTGTGAGTAGCAGTGGGGAAGCTTTCCATTTAACAACTGTAATCTTACTGGGGGAGCAGGAAAGTGATTCTGTAACCAACATTAGAATTACTTTGGACTTGTAATCAAAATGGTTCTATGATTTGTCTTTGACTATTCACGGATAATTGTAAATTCTGATTTTATAAGCCCGAGTCATTTTACATTTGCTTTTCCAAAATTTATTAAATTGGAATTTTTTAATCCTTTAATACAAAAAAAGGTACAATCACTCAGTGTGTGTTTCTCTTCCCCTTCCCAGTCAGCTTACCCAATTGTTTATTTTAATCTAATCACTAGGTTACCTCTTCTGACTTCTCTAAGGACAATCCACATATCTTCCTGGAGAAAAAGAAGTAGGTAAAGTTCCCTTGAGAACTGTCTACTTGGTAGTTACAGTTCCCGAATGGAAAACTTGGTCTTTTCACGTTAAAAGCCTTAATCGTGTTTGGGTACCCAAAAGAGAGTCAGTGTTCATTCTGGTTAACTTTACAATCCAAGAAAGATCATTTTTAGCAAGGATGTCCTTCCGTCCTTGGGAGAGACTCTTCCCAGCACCTGAGGTTCAGCTTACCAGGAAATAGACCCCACGAGATATAATAGCAGCAGGCTGAGAAATGTTTGTCTTCCTAGCCAGTCCACCCTCATTTCCAAAGATCTCATGCCTGTGACTGTGGTCCTGGAGATCTTGCACGAACCACTTCTAGGGTCCCTTTTCCTTTTCGAAAGCCCTTGTAAAATTGAGGCCCCAACTTTGGAGGCACGTTAAGAATTACCTGACAGTGCCTGTTGTGTTTTCTCTGCATCCTGTACATAAAGTTTTAGGATCTGGTCCAGATAAGGTAACAGCTTCTCTCCACTTGATTTTCCAGCTGGTTTTGTAAGCGATTCCTGTGTCTCTAGGACAGCAGGTAAATCGGATGTTGGCTTGGGGCAAATGAAGATTGCAACTGTGTTTCATCTAATAAGCTGAGTCTTGTTTGTACGTCAAGGTGCCTTCTTCTGCTGAAGCCTTACTTCCTCACAAGCCCTGCCTCTTCTCACCCAGCAATGGTTAAACTCTTCTCTTGTGTATATGCAAATAAACCTAAACCTATTATTCACTTCTAACGTCTTCCTCTTCTCTTCCAGGGAAGGCTTGGTTGCTTAGACACCCCCTCCTCCTCCTTTTCTGTTTTAATTCTTGCCTGTTCAAGTCATTTGGGGCGGGGGGCAGGTATTTTTTAGCCCGAGGACAGTTTTAGCCTAGTTGGAAACTAGATTTAAAGCTGCTGAAAAAAAAAGCCCATTGCCATGAAGTCAATTGTGACTCATAGCGACCCCATAGGACAGAGTAGAACTGCCCCATAGGGTTCCCAAGGAACAGCTGGTGGATTCAAACTGCTGACCTTTTGGTTAGCAGCCCATCTCTTAACCACTGCACCAGCAGGGCTCCAAAGCTGCTGAGGATGAGAAGAAAAACTGGTAGCCCACATCCATTACAATGTTTTCTTGTCAGTGGTCATTGTATTGGGACAAAGGTCACATCTGGACAGCAAAATGTGGGGTAGGAGAAGGTAGCTACTTGGTTTCCTTTAGCAGCAGGCTTAGAGGGACTTAGGATAGTGAGGTCCTGGAATTGACAGTTGTATTAGTTGGAACTGAGGAAGCAATACAGACAAGTGACATTTCAAACAGCCCCCAAAGAAATTGTTTCCTGGTGTTTCCAAATCTCAGGTGGCTTTTTCCTGCCCTGTCCCAGGCATGCATTGCAAACTTTTTTTTTCTTTAAAAAATAAAAGCAAAACATGTATATTCCATCTATAAAGCTGCCTCCTACAGTTAACTGAAAAATTCTTGCCAACAAGATTCTTGTCAGGTAACAGACTTCCAAAGGAAGGCTGTGCTTATAAACTAAACAGGGCACTGTGCCAGGGTTGAAACTCCATGTTGAAGTAAGGCTCAGTGGGTCCCAAACCTGCCCACAAGAGCAGGATAGTGGCTTTTGGCAGGCTGTGTGGTTCTATCAGATGAGGTATTCCAGTATGAGTGCTGGTTTGTCCTTGAGCACTCATAGTGGAATGAAATAACAAGAATTCAAGTGGTTTGAAAGTAATTTTGAATTTCTTGAAAGAATAGTGCTTCCCACAAGCAATAGAAATACATTTGAAAGGGAAATCTGAGCTAGCTGCACCCTAATTGCATTTCATTGCTAGTGCAAAGGTGGTAAGATGCTTCTTGAAATTGAGACATTAGAAGCAGTTTTGAATTGGAAGTTTAGGGGCAAAGATAAGCCTCACTAGGCCCGGAAGCACTAACGAGGGGATAAGCAGAAGTTACTCCATTACTCAACAGGGTTTACTTGAGCTGTGCAAAAGGGTCCTGCAGTGCTTATCTACAGGACAGCTGCGTTGTAAGGAAATGGAATATATGGTATTTCAAGCTTACTGAAGTTGAATGTGACCGCTTTCACAGAGTCCAAAGCCGTGAGCTCATGGAATATTACAGCGGAAATATAGAGTGCTAGCTTAGAAGTTTCTATCTGCCTTTGTTAGTACCCCCCCAAAAGCTAAGGAAAGACAACAAAACACTAAGATATCCAGATCCCAACCCAGGAGCCTTAGTGGCAGGGGGGTCTTTAGGGAAAATGGAAGGGATGACATTTGGGGGAAGAGGATTAAGGTGACTCTGCAATGGAAGAAATGGTTTCCATAGCTTCCTGGAGCCATACAACTGACATCCAGCATGACATGGGACTGGCCTCTAAAACACTTGCTCATCAGGATTCTCCAACCCACAAGTATATCCCACTCTAACCCAAGTATAATCCCTAATTTATAGTGGATGTCAGTAAAAATACAACATTGGTTTGGGAGAAATTCTCTTTGCTAGAATGAATAAATTCCTAGAAATAAAGATTGCATAATGACCCAAACACCAACATACTTAAACATACACCTCAAACAGGTGTGCTTGGCATAGGCTTTCATAGGGTTACATACATCTCCCCACCTGACTACTCTTAGGCTAGTTATTGACGAGATTTGGTCCTACTCCTACATCTTTTTTCACTTGCTTATTTTCTCGTCATGTCTCAGAGTCAATGTTTCCTAACATTTCTAGTCTTTCCAAGACCCCACCTTAAATTCTTAGAGCTAACTTCTGTTCCTTTCTCTTTCCCCTAAGAGAGTCCTGTGAGTGGAGTGGAAATGGCATTGAACTAGCAAGAGAAGTGGATTACATACTGGTTCTTCAATGGAGTAGCTGTGTGAGCCTTGGACAAGTCATTCAAACTCTTGGGAGTCGTTAACAGGGGTCCCTCTCAACTCTAAAATCTGATTCCTTTCATCCCAGCTCCTGTATATGTCCCTCCCCAGATTCAGAGGGCTCTCTAGATCCCACTCTGGCGAGTCCTCATTCCTGAAACATCCCTGTAAGTGCCCATCAGAACTAGCCAAGATCTCTGGCGAGTTATAACTGCTCAGAGACTGAAGCTTTTCATCTGTAAAATGAGGAAAGAGTGCCTGTCTCAGCACATTGTTAGACAATTAAAAGAGTGTATATATGTACGTATTTCCCTATCTTTCTATATATACTTAGATATAGGTATAGATATGTATCTAGAAAAAGAGGCAGACCCCTCAGTGAGATGGATTGACACAGTGGTTGCAACAACGGGCTCAAATATAGCAACAATTGTGAGGATGGCTCAGGACCAGGCAGTGTTTCGTTCTGTTGTACATAGGGTCACTGTGAGTCGGAACCAACTCAACGGCACCTAACAACAACGTGTATCTAGATCATTTATCTAGATACAGGTATATAGAGAGTTTAAAACAGTGCCTAATACATAGAAAGCACTAAATAAGCGTTTGCTGTCATTAGCACATCCTCCCTGTTTTGCTCTCATTCGTTATTACTATCAACAACATGTGCATACTGTATGGAAGGCTTTTTTGGATGAGGTCTGCCAAGGAGTACAGAAAATAAGTTCTTCAGAAAAAGAACTTACCATTTATTAGTAATCTAAAACCATGAGAAAAGTGTGAATTGTCTCCATTATAGTGGATCTGACTAAAGCTGAGTTTGGTGCCTTGCACACCACCTCTGACTTGGGTAACCAGATGACTAAAGGCTCTGTCTGAGAGCTGAAGCTTAAGAAAAAAAAAAGCCAGACCTGGCTGAGAGAGGCCTCACAGACCCTTGCTTACTACAGCAGGTCTGCAGGAGTTTGGGGGAGGGGTTGGGAGAGGAGTGGAAGATTTCATTTCTTAAACTATAGTCTTAATATGGTGGTGCTGGAGATGCCTCAGCCCTCTAGAGCTGGGGCAGCAAACTTCTCTCTGGCCTTCGGAGCTTAAATTCTCTGATCTGGCAGCAGGCTGGCCCTAGAGAATTAAGAAAGTGGCAAGCTATGGAAATTCTCTGTGTTAAAGCCAAAGAAAAGTTTGGCCAGAGTTTTCGGTGCAGGATTGTTTTGTGTGTGTGTGTGTGTGTGTGTGTGTGTGTGTCTAAAATATTCTGTGAAGCTAAACCATAAAAGACAGAATTCTGACCAGGAGAAAGGGTCAGAGTTCGGTCCCAGCCCACGAAACCCTCAGGACAGATCTGGAATAGAGATTTAAGAGCACATGCGTGGCACTTGGGGAGAGCAGGCGGAGAAATATGAGAGGAGGGTTTTGAATTGTTGGAGGAAAAGAGGCAATGGAATTATACTTGGGGGAAAATTTTTTCAAATAAAACATCTGCCAGAAAAGAAGCCAGAGCAAGGGTCAGGGAGTCTGGGAGGGCAGAGAAGAGTTAAGGCCTAAGTAGGCATTTGTGACCTTACCCTGAAGAAGATGGGGAGGTGCTATATCATCCAGTTCAGCCCCCTCATTTTAGAGATTGAGAGGCCAAGGCCGGTTAGTGCTGGGCCTGACCTCTGACACAAGTGTTCTCCCCGTATCTTGTTGGTTCCTCCTAGATGTGGTCCTTTGGTTTGGGGAGGGGGCAACATCTTGATCCCCACTCCAGCTGGGATCTGATTACAATATATAGCAGTAGCAAGGGATTTAAAATGGCCTATAAGGAGGCAAAACCAAAAACCAGTTGCCTTCAAGTCCATTCTGACTCATGGCGACCCTTTGTGTGTCAGAGTAGAACTGTGCTCCGTAAGGTTTTCAATGACTAATTTTTCAGAAGTAAATCACCAGGCTTTTCTTCTAAGGAGCCTCCGAATGGACTCAAACCTCCAACTTTTCTGTTAGCAGCCAAGCATGTTAACTGTTTGCACCACCCAGGGACTCCCTATGGAGAGAGAGAGGGTGTGTGTGTGTGTGTGTGTGTGTGTGTGTGTAAAGGCAGGGTGAGGAGGGTAGAGTCTTTTGCAAAGGAAAAACAGGGTTAGCTAAACTTGGACTGTCCCTACCCTCAAAAAACAACCTGGACCCCAAGGCCCTACACTCAGACTCACATGTGACTTGTTCTCTGCACCTCTCTTAACAACTCTGACCATTCCCTGGTTGCCAAATGCAGTCCTAATGTTTCCGCACTTGGGAGACATAAAAAAAATCCCTTGGATGACTTTCAGAGAAGAGCAATAAACATGTTGGGAGTGTTGGAAGAAAAGATAAAAGGGCCAGAGGGGAAGGTGGCAGCTGCAGCCGTTAGATTTTAGGTATGCAAGGGCTTAGCAACGGGAGAAGGCCTTTCAAGTTGTAAGCAATCAACTGGGAATCTACCCAGTAGCAAGCCCAAGAAGATTGGTTCACATCGCTGTTCTTTTCTTGGCTGTGGAGTTCTGGTAAAATCTTTTTCCTAAACTAGCCATGAGAAGCAGCTTATAGCTCATGCCCCTTTATCCCCAGTTTTAAACTTTTCTGCTCAAGGGAAATGCTAGCACTTTTTTCCTCAAGCAGCTGCCTGGGGTGGAATTCCATGGGCAGGAGCTGGCCAAATTTAGCCTCTGTGGGAGAAGGCTGGTCAGCACTGCAGCCTTGGGCCCAGCCCCAGAGGGAGGAGCAGTCAGATCGAGACTCTGTCCCACTCCAGGTCTGGCTGAGTGTGGGGGCCAGAGTTGACACAAGGGTATACTTGCCCTCTGTTCAGGCCACTGTCCAAATACTGCAACCCCTCTAACTTGTCCTTCTATGGAGAGACCTGTGGGGATGTCCTAGGCTTGGGCTCTTGCTAAATCAGGTGGCTCCGTGTGTCCCTCGTGAGGCCAGCTGTGTCCAGAGTCGTCAACGGCATTTGATCCACTGACTTCCCCTCTCGCCTCCTCTGATGTGAGGTCCAATAGGCAACCTCACTTCCCCCTGAGACTGGCTGGGGGGAAGGAGTTGGAACCCCTGCCTGCCAAACAT